GCCGCTCGCTAAAACCTCTCCTGGGGAAGCGCCAGAAACTTATTTATCAAGGAGAAACCCTGCGTTAAACAAACTACGACACAGAAAATGATGCATCGACTGTAGTTCTTGGTTTGTAGTGAAGTCAAAAACACCAATAAAGACAAGAGGACAGGAGTGACTCATTCATACAGAGAGCTCCTTCGACCGCAGCGAATCAAACATAACTCAGCTGTAACACATACAGCTGTGTGCTTAACAATATTGCTGCGAAAGGCACTCCATCTGTAAGCACAATACAAGTCAGCTTTGCATACAAAGTGCGAGACGCTCTACACTCCACTACAATGCTCCACGTCTGGGGGATTCTCCTGCTGGCTGCGATCTATAAATATTGTTCACATCCTCTGTCAGAGATGCACCGAGGAGTGATAAAAGCTCGCCGAGACCTCCAAGAGTACAACTGCGGGGAAGTCATGACTGCTGAGCCGTAAAACGAGAGTCTTATCTGCGTCGACACATGTGTAGTTAAAGTGTCTGTCAGTTTACTGTAAGTTACGGCCTGCGTTTTAGTAATTGTAGTACAAGGGAAGCACGATACTTCAGCATGAAGATAGTTGATCCTGGTTGTCTATACATGCTGTCTAGCATTTTTCTAACATATTTAAAGCCCAAAAACATGACTTGACATGTGTATTATACGTACAAACAGCTGATCAGACGTGCTGTACGCATTTAAGAGTGAACCAGTTCAGCAAAACGGATCAATTTCGATGCACCGTAGTCGAAGTATCACGGGAGATCCCAGTTGTTCGTGCGTAATCTGTTGAAATTGGCCCTATACCTGTGGTTTTAATATAGCGCTCATTAAACGGGGAGACACTTGGCACAGCGTAACGCCCACATAAACATTCCGCCAAACAGTGTTTCGCAGGATAAATACACACATCAGTGTTTGACGGGCGCGTAGACGAACGTGATCATTATACTAATTGCTGTTTTTCACACAACGCAACCCGAACGGCTTATTTGTGTTGAATTAATGGGCTTTTCGTCCCTCACGTGTACGCAAGATGAAGTCATAACAGAGAGAGCACCTCACAACTCAGCGCTCAAGGTTAGGATGTTAAAAGATTGCGTAATTAAGACTTAAATTAATCAGGTTTGGAGGGGAGAGCTTTAGAAGCCTGAGCATGTGACGCTTTTACTGTACTAATGGTTTGAACACATTTCGGGGGGTTTATGACAAGTGCATGGCACAAGGGTAAAGGAAAGGGCAGGAAGCGTCGCCGCTGACCCCGGCACACCTAAGCAACCATCTGTTCCAAAAGCATCGCCTGGAAACTGCAGATCCATTAACAACTGTGAGTACTTAATCAGCCTCAGCCACTATAGACAATGTCCTCTGCATTCAGCGCAGTCTGTAATCCTCACTGTCGTCTCTGCCAACGCATGAATCATACAGTTTTCGGGAAACAGTGAAGCCAATGTCTAACTTTACGAGGGTCAGCGTCGTGCACATATGACGCAAATTGAATGTCAGCTTTCGTGTGATCTTGAGATGATCACACATCATCTCTATAGAGCATTGGGCTATTTAATATTTATTGGTTGATTATATGCATTTAATTTAAGCATCAACTGAGCCGATAAATAATTCAGCGCCACGAGTCTGTTCTTAAACGAACAGTGTCTCCCAATTACTTTCAGTGCTCCAATTTATTTGTTTTCTTCTTTAACTTTTAAATTAGTTTTTTTTTTAAATAGAGAAGGCACCAATGCACACATCAAGAGCATCTATTGAAGTCCTTGAAGAGATTAGAAAAAAAAGAAAGTGTCATTCATGTTCTCTGGTTAACCCTTTTGAACCTTAAACCCCAACAATAGATTTGAAACGCATTTATCAGAGACAGAACATTTGAACTACACTGAACAACTCAGAAAAATGACCCAAATCCAAGTTTAAAATCATGATATTCCAACAAAATAGCTTTATCCTACATGTTATTGTACTTAATGCATGTTTTTTTTTGCCCAAAATAAATCCTTTGCATGAGCTAGACTCCAGAAACTTCAGTGCAGTTTGGAGCCATGACCGAGTTTCCAGGTGGACTGCAGGCTGTGTTTCACCAGAGCAAAGAGAAGTATTGAAACAAATGAAAAATGTAAGTCATAAATATCGTATGGAGGCTCTATAGTAGACTCTATAATATCGAGAATCATCCTTTTCCCTCCAGTATTGGGAACAGCTGTGGGCAATTCTACATATTGATTCCATTTTTTTCAATTATTGGAAGGTAAACATAGAAACACAACTTTCATTTCTCCTTTTTCATGCTTTATGGCTTTATCACTGAGTCACACTGCACTCCTCTCCTTCTGCTGTTTCCATAGAGGTCATATATTGCACTTTAGATTGCAGTGAAAAATGGCAGGAGCAAAGAGCCCAACAGCTGCTAGGAATTCAGAGGTTTAAAAACCAGATTTGCCAGTCGGTTCAATGCCTCCGAACACGGCCGCTCAAACAGCATCTAGTGGCCGTTTGAGAAACTGCAGCTTGGGGCGCTTCTGCATCGGATTCTGCCCCAAAGCAAACTTGCTTGGCTAATTTGAGCCGTTTTACATTAAGCTAATGTCTTAACATTAGAGGAAATTGATTTCTAGGAATAAATAAATTAACAGCTGCTGGAAAACTTGGGACTGTTATGCCTCTTTCTGTGTTACTGTGGACAATCCATCTCCCAGACACAGACCTACTAACACCACACTTTACCTCTTGACTCAGGGGTCAGCTCGCAGACATTAACTAATGGAGGGTTGTTGCTGAGAAAACGTAATTTAGCTCATCGACACTTGCAGCTGAGGCTGAACTCTTCGGTCTGTGCATGCGGTGCAGCTTGTTTCCTGTACCGTCCGTTGTGCGATGCGTCTCTTTGCACAGGATGCAAGGTCCTTCTGTCCTTGCATTGTGTTTGTCAGTGTGTACTCCAAAATGGTAGTCAGCTCAATGTCACGTTGAGAAAACTCCCATTGATTTGAGGTCGCAACTTATTGTCTCGTCTGTTATAACCAAGTTTGAGTAAGCTTGAGGCAAGTGGATGTATTTGGGGAGTTGAGGTAACTATCAAATCATTTCCTTCAAGACATAATAGAACAATAACTCAGGAGGCAAAATACTGGTATTAGCAGCACGACAGATTATTGACGTTTCTGTAAGACTCTCCGATTTATTACGATTCTAAACATGTCAGGTTGCACTGGGGATATATATGCACCTTGCATGGAAGAAGCTATTACCATAAATATGATTAGGGAGAGTAATTACATGAGTTGAGCAATCAGGGAACTTCTGCCCTGCAGTAATTAAAGATTTTGTGGATGAAACAATATTTATAGCCTGATTTTCAGACCTCTCCTGTTCGTAGAGCAACAACACTCATGCAGACAGCGCTGCAGCTCCGCCGTCGTGTGTCAAGGTGGCAGCAGTGTTGAAGGCGAAGTGGGAGGTTGTTGATCCTCAGACTGGCTGTGGATGTGTAAATGGCAGAGGTTAATGTGAAACTCTCTTATCTCCCTCAACAACTACCAGCAAAGTGCTCTTTAGCTGCCAGTGGAGCTGCTCGGTGACAAGAAAAGGTAGAGCGCTGTTTACTCTGAGGTGTGAGGCCACGCAAATGCAGCGCCGCATTACGTGCTCAGTGAATCCTCCTCAGGTGGATGCACTCACGGCCGAGCGCTCCGTCTCGCTATGTTCCGAATATTTAATGACTCTCAATTAGTAAAAGTACAATTTGAAAAGACCATCACCTGAAAAGGCTCCATACCAACACCGGAGGTGCAGCTCCTCTCCCGACACACAACAATCCTTTACTGTTGTTCTAATTCTTGCTTTTCCACTGCCAACCTTTTAATTAAATTTACGTCGTCATCGCAGATAGTGGCTTTTCAATGTCAAATGAGCGGCTCAAAGCAAGGGCAGGCAGCCACTTGTGGGCCTGGGCAACCTGCAGACAGAAGAAGGGGAAATGGAATTCCCTTTGCATAAAAGACTTGGTGATATCAAATCTGATCTGACTTATCTCTTTATTGTAGTCTGCCTGGATTTGTTCCAAACCGCTGCCAGCTGTGCTTTCTCATTGTGAGGACCATTTGCCAAAACAAAATAAAAAAACCCTTCCATTCCCAACAGCTATGCAATGCAGTTACAATAGCAAGAGTGAATTTAATGCTTCAGTGGGTCTTTTAGTTGGTGTATGAGAAAAACACTGGTGGTCATTTTTTTTTAGCAATTAATGACAAAATGCAGGACGCCAGAGATGAGAGGATGTAATTTACGGCTCAAAATGAATCCATCTTTCATCGCATTGATGGGTTTTTATCTGCCTTAGATTCTCTAGAAATAGTCTTGTAACTCTTAATTTTATATTCATTAATTTGCCATTCATCACAGCATCTTTTGTCCAAGTGAAGCGTCTTCTCTGTTGGGCAAAATGTGAAGTCTCGCTGACTCTTCAGTCTTGGCTCTTAGCTCAGGCACAATGGGCTCACAGTGGAAGTGAAATCAGGTGCAATTAAGCCTCGTGGATAAAACCAGCAGGTGTTGTATGAAAATGTGCCATGAACTTGGGATGTGCAGTGAACTGTAAGCTGCAATTATTGAGCATTATTGGACGTTTTTAGCAGAGGAAGCCACAATAATTCAACAATAAATCTGTACAGTCATTTGAAGCAAAAATCAGAAGCAGCAACATAAAAACAGATAAAAAGATAAAACCACAGCTTGTCAATGCCTCCACCAAATTTAAATCAACTGATCATAACGTAGAGAACCTGTACTAGTGAACATTTCACACACAGTCAGTTTCTTGCACAGTCAGATTTGAAGAAAAAGGAAAAAGCAGCGACAGGAGCTCTCCAGGGTCCTGAACTGGTTTTTTCTTAAAAGCCAAATTCTGTTCCAACAGCTGATCATTTCACAGATTATAAGCACAATGTAAGCGAACCAAACAATCGAGTCTCACCTTCCACCTCATCCTCAGGCAGGTTAACAGGGGTCCGGTAGGAGAGGACATCTGGAATAGTGCAAAGTCCCTTGTACATGAACCTGGTGGTCACAGCACGCACTGGCATTTCTGCGAGGGAAAAGCAACAACTGTGTCGCGATCTTCATATAGCCAAGCTCTCCGGAGTTTTTTTTTTTTTTTTTTTTTGGCAGACCCTTTCCTACTGTCCTTGATATTTTAGATAAAATCTCAAGCACATGAAACAGGGAAACCCCCCACCTTTTTTTTTTTCTTTCTTTCCCTCGCAAAGTTCAACCCTCTCGCTGCGTTATTGTGCGCCGCGCGTTAAACCAAGAATGCAGATTGTAAATCGCCTTTGGATTCAATGCATAGCCTGAAGCAACCTACTGTAAGCAAGATATGAAGCAAATAGGCGATGCCATTTCATCCAAAAATGACACGTAAAACTTTTACTTCATAGCCTGTTGAGCAAAGCTCGAGGAACGTTTTTGGGCATCGAGAATGCCTTTTAAATCTCCATTCAGATATTTAGCTCGTATCAAAAAAAAAAAAAAAAATCCACGTCCAGTCAATGGCATGGACAGGCTACTTTGTCATCCTAATGTAAAATCCTGCACTGGAATCATAAAGAAAGATGTTAGATTAATTACAAAAATCAGTGCGCAATTCTGATTCCTACAACGCGTCTTTCAATTCCCGATATAGTCTGCCTCACTTTTCTTTCCCGTTTCGGCATCTTCTTAAAAAAAAAAAAAAAAAAATCGATGACACCAGATAAAGCAGCAGCAGCAGTAGCAGCAGTAGCAGCAGTGTCGAGCTGATCCTATCCGGTAACCGAGGTAGGAACCAAATCTGGTGACATATTTTTGTAATTTTTTCTTTTTTTTTTCCTGGAGAGCAGCTTCAAGGGAATCCTGGGTGACCCCCTCTCATCTGATACAGACACGCTGTATGAGGCAGTGATGCTCCTCTCTGTCTCCAGCTGTCTGCCACACACACACACACACACACACACACACACACACACACACACACACACTATTGCTGCCTCCTCCTCCTCCTCCTCCGTCTGTAAGCATCTCCTACCTGAACCTGTAATGTGATTATCTTGATTTTTTTTGCACTCCAACAGTCTGATATTGAATAATAACACAACATACAGGTGTGCATGTTTAGCAAATGTGAGAATATAGCAACAAGTGAAGCAGTCGAGGCAGGCAGGAGGCTAAATGGAAGCTGAGGGGGGCTGAAAATTGAATTAAGCCTCATGGTCCTGAAGCTGCATCTATTAATCGATATGTTGTCGATTATTAAATTAATTGCCATCAAAAAAAAAAAAAAATTCTCTGATTCCAGCTTCTTAAATGTGAATATTTGATGTCTGAGTATCTTTGGATTAACGTGAAAAATAAAACAACACATTTGAGGACATCATGTTGGACTTTGGGCAACACTAATCGACATTTTTTTCACAATTTTTGACTATTAACAGACCAAACAGGTCGATTCATTGAGAAAATAATCAACAGATTAATCGACAGTGAAAGCAATTGTTATTTGCAGCTCTGCTTGACTCAGTAAGCTACTAATCTTAGCTCATTTCAGGTATTCAATCAACAGTTTAATCGCCTAATCAAGCGTGAATGCAGTTAAAGGTAGAATATAAAGAAGAATTACCGTCAAACAAATGGTCAATAGTAAGCCAGTCAAATAATTAGGCTAAATGAATCGCTTTCTTTATTGGAGGGCTTTTCCTATTTAAAGTTAGGCGAGAAGTTTAGTGCAGCAGCTGCATAGTAAAAACTAAATGATCAGCCAGTTTGCTTGGATTAGTACAGTGGAATGAGTTTGGCTTCAAAAGGTAACAAAAACTGTCCAATAGCACCTTTAAAGCTTAATAATTCCTCCTGTAATTGGCCCCAAGTCATTGCTTGCAACCAAGAAAGAGTCCTGCACACGACCCTTCATAAAAAACTGTTTTACATGTTTGTGCAGAAGCTTGTTTTGCACGTATTAAACAAATATGTAAATTAGATCAGTAGGTTAGGACGTGTGTCTATGTAGAGTCTAAAGTAACCAGATCAGTTCATCCAGGCAAAGGGGATAGTTTGGAATCCTTTTTGGAATTTGTTTTACATTATTTATGCAGGGCTGCAAGGTGGAGCGGTGGTTAGCACTGTTGCCTCTATAGAAGGTCGCTGGTTTGCATCCCGGTGAGGACACCCGGAATCTTTCTGCGTGGAGTCTCCATGTTCTCCCCGTGCAGCGTGGGTTCTCTCCGGGTTCTCCGGCTTCCTCCCACACAGTCCAAAAACATGGTGAGGTTAATTGGTGATTCTAAATTGTCCGTAGGTGTGAATGTGAGTGTGCTTGGTTGTCTGTCTCTAAGTGTAGCCCTGTGATAGACTGGCGACCTGTCCAGGTGAACCTGCCTTCACCCTGAGTCAGCTGGGATAGACTCCAGCGACCCTAGTGAGGATTAAGCGGTGTATAGATGATGGATGGATGGATGGATTATTTATGCTTTTTACTGAAACTAGATGGAAAGTTTGATACAACCTTTGTATAGTAAATATAAAACTGTCAGCCGGCAGCCGGTTTGCTTGGTTTACAGGAATATAAGCGCGGCTCATTCGAAAACATATCAAAATCCTCCTTCCACCACTGTTATTGCTGCCAGTTATATCCATAGTGTCCTCTGGTGTTGCAGCAACCTTGCAGTAACACTAAAGGCACAAAGGATGCACCTTTGTAGTCTCCAGAGTCACTGCTTGCAGCCTAAAAAGATACTGCACATGACCCTCCCTAAAACCACAGTGTGCCATTTTTGCACTAAGTTAAACAAACATGTTAATCAGTGAGCTTTAGAGGAACAGACAGGAAGGTACCAGGTTGGTGCATGTGTCCATAAAGAGTTTTTCTCTGGCAGAAATATACTTCATCCCAGCACTCCATCAAAAAAAAAGCATGTGGGATTTGTTTCTATGACAACATATCACCACCATAACTGCCATCACATGTTAGAGCAGACTGTCTTCTGAGGGGGGAGCTCCACCCAAGACGTTCGCTAAAACACCCAAAGTGACTTTGGGCTCCAAAAAAAATCACGTCATTGCACTTTTGCTCCGCTCTGCATCAGCCCAATGTAACCTGCCAGGACACGACTTCATATGCAAATTCCAGGCACATATCAAGTGTGGCACAGTGACGGGCTCTGTGTGATCGTCCAAGGTGACAATCGCGCCAGCCAGTACGTGCAGATGGCACGGGTGGCATTTCAAACGCCCGGTACGGCTTCAAATACAGAACCTGGAAATGTCACCACCATGGACTCCACCCAACCCGCCCAGAGTTTCAGCGATCCCTTCCGCTGTGCTGCTCTGTTTGATGAGAACGTGAAGAGTCGCTCTGGAGACCAATAACGGAGATTCACGCTCGGATCTCAAGACTACAGACATTTACTGCAAGACAGAGGATCTCTATTCATGGAGATTGTGTCGCTTATGGTGGCAACTAACCCCAGAGTCTCCTCACTGGAGAACGATGTTGGCACTCGTGAAAAAAAAATGCTAAGTGGACCCTGATTCTTTGCTGTTTCCTCCTGCTTTCAGTCTTTATGCTAAGCTAAGCTAACCAGCTTCAAGTTTGCCCTGCATACAAAAGAGTGATATCAATCTTCGAGCAGGAGCAGAGTAGCTTCGTTCCCGTCAGTGTCACAGAGAAAAATACACTTAAGGTGCAAAAAAATATGCTCTAGGCTGTGTTTAGTTTGTGTCTGGTAGTAGCCCTGACAGCTTGATTGATGAAAACAATGTGTGTTCCATCAGACGTTTGCAAAATGGACATCTGAAAAAAAAAAAAAGGCAAAGCAAATCAGCGTGTTCCCCCAAAATGTCAAACTGTCCCTTTAAAACTCTGAGTCGGAGCTTATCGGCGTACAAAATGGCCTCAGCTCCTGACAGCAAGTTGACTGCGGCATAAAGTACTTATCAATGCTGGTCAAACAAATTTTTTCAGAGTCTTCTTACGGCTGAGGATTTATAGAAGATAGTATATGAGCTTTATAACTTTTTTGCAAAGACCGGCAATGGGATTCGGGGAAAGTTTGTATTTGCTTTCGACAAAAATCTCCCCTCTGGAAATGTGCAAACCTGCAGAAAAGGCTACAGGCAGAACGGTTGTTTGTTTAATCCTGAAACAGAACAACACACGCCCACGTTCTTTTTTCCCCCTCTTCATTCAGAAGCAGCTGTATGAATCAGTGAAATATTATGAACGCTCATTACATCCAAATCAGCAAACCCTCAGCAAACATCTACAGCTCAAACATCTACAGTTGCCTGCGTCGTCTTGCATGATGATGCCCTGCGTTAGTATCTTTCCGGCCTGGTTCACACCAGATAAGCGCAGCGTGTGGTTCCACTGGTTGGTTCTTCAAGGGTTTACAGGACTGACAGGTCTATTCCCCTCTGAATGTGAAGGGATTGTCTCTCTCTGCTGCACCTGAGCCGCCCGCTGGCTCTGTGCTCAGACAAGTAAACTTCTTACAACCTGAATACCAGACTTTGTTCTGGGCACACAATATGAGGGATGTGTCAGATTCCTTATTAGAAAACCTCGAAGTGAACTGTAGCGTAGATCTATAATTACTTTGTATTCGTAAAACACCCAAATTTCCTAAACTCAAGAGAAGCTTGAGAAGTCTCTGTGAGTTCCAATCAAAGCCCTCACACATAAACCAGCCAGTATATTTCACGAGATAAGTTTGCGAGACTCGACTGCGCATTGCAGTGGGCGCTCGTGTGGTTTGCAGATAGAAATAGAAGGCTAATAAATGCCCCAGAGGGTTAAAAAAGAAATCAGGCAGCTGTGGTGTTCATCCAGTGGGGGATCACAGACAGGAAGGTCAGCTCAGCCCGGGGGCTTCCACCAGTGGAAAGCACCTGACTTGTCATCCATCCCATCATCATTAAATAAAACGTCCGGGATGTTCTCTGCAGAGGCAACGGACCCGAAAGAAGGAGGTGAGAGACGTCCAAGAAGTCACGGTGGAAACATTCAGTGCTGGAGGAAATCTTTGAATTCCCCCAAAACTGACTGAAGCCC